TATATTTTAAATGTTTCTCATTAATCAACAATAACTAAAGGTATTTGTTGTATTGTTATTGCTGTCATTTGATTAGTCTGCACAGTGTGTATATATGTTTCATTTATTCGTGCAGATGTAGGTGTATTGCTCGTGAAGCTGTCGGTGTGTACTGATTATACCCAGGTCCACACACTTGGTGGGTTTATCATATTTTATATATGCATTGTGTAATGTCTACCTGATACGAAATGCTTGTTTCCCTATATGATATGATATGTATATGCCTATCTATGTATGAATTAAAGTATAAATGGAATGTGTCATCAATGAAATATCGAGGCAATGTATATGGAATAGATTAGCAATAATGATATTTTGTAAATCAGCATATATTTATGTTTTGTCTAAAGAATGTTTTAATTGTTTCAGGGTTTTGTACATGAACTATCAGAAATAAAGGGCCATAATGCGAACACCACCGTGTCTGTTCTAATGATGAAACAGCTCCGGTTTCAATGGAGCCCCCAGTGAGGAATATGGCCTAACAAGACACCGTCACCTGCGTATTGACCTCATCATCCTTCTGTCCACTACATGTGCTATGACGTCATTCGCGGAGACTGATAAGATGCAGTTACACGCGTGAGAGACGTCTTTGAGACATCTTTGTGTATTTTTTATATAGACAGTTAATAATGTGTTTCATGTGAGCCACCAGTGTTCACGCAATCAGGGAACGTTCTGGCGTTCAGTTATTTCACTGTACAGACATTTTCCGTACTTTGCTTTATGCATAGTGTTGATAGTAATGTAGCTTTAAGTTACACCACCCGGGTTTAGCTAGACTGTTTACCCTGTTGTAAACTTTGTCAAGTGATATCACTGCATGTGATACTTACACGTACTGTAGATCCTGACCTTAGTTGGGCTTTCATGTGTACATTTTGATGACTTTGCCGTACCTGCGAGCACATACTGATTCATATACATTGTAGTTTCTTTCAGTGAGCGCTCACATCTTTAGTATTTTGTTAGAAAGAAAATCATATGTTCCTCCGCCGTGTGTTGCCATGTGATTGCTTGAACAATGACTGAGAATATCATGTTGGTTTGATGTGAGTATGAGTGAAGTAAGATACCCAACGTTACATTTACACTTTGCCCAAAAAACAACTAAATTTATTAAACCAGTTAAGTTTCATCACGTTAGACTGGTGTTGTGTTTCAAGTTCAGTAGTTGTATTACTATTGCTTTTTGCGGGTAGAATTATACCTTATTGTTCATTCAGTTGCATTACTTTGGTCTTCCTGTGTCAATAGGGATTTGCCATGTTTGCTGGGTTTGTTTTAAAGGTTGATACATAAGTATTGTCTTAGCATTCAGTTATTTCCTTTTCTTTGCCCCTGCGCGCGCGAATATACATTGCATATGCACACAAGCACAACTGCTTGCACAACTGTCAACTTTGCCCTTCATATTTGGTCTCTTTGACCTGTGTAAAACATTAAGAGCTTTTATGCTAATGGTTTAGTTGTTCAGTATTTCAGGTATCACTCCTATTCTTCGGTGTGTGGGTCATTAACCCAGTAGCACAGACACTCATTTGCATTATGCGCTTGTTGTTCAGAATATCCTGAGCGTACTAGTACATATTCGTATTACCACTTGCTTTCATCAGGCCATCACGATTCTGGTCATTCACGCAACATTTATGTTGTTGTCCCTTATCATTTATCTTCCTGTTGTTCTTTCGCCATCTGTTGATAATGCAGAGGACTTGGTAAAGTGAATGCAAGCATACACTCAGGTTGAGGATGGTGCATCCATCCTGCCTTCTAACTCAGGTACTCCGTCAAATTCAAATAGTTCAGGCACTCAAGCACCTGTTACGTTAGCACATGCAGCAAAAGTTCCATCTTTTTCTAATGACAAGAAGGGCGAAATATCTTTTGATGTACGGAAATATCATGTTGAGTGTCTGATTCAAAACAAGTCTTTTTCACCACAGACTGTTGCCACGGTTGCAATGTGTCTTGGACCTGAGGCTGATATCAAACAACTCATTTCCAAGCTAGATTCTACTTTTGGTAGCTTAGATACGGGTCAATCACTTCTAGCTAATTTCTGTAGCTCACGTCAAGAGGCCACAGAGGAAGTTGCTTCATGGGCATGCAGGTTAGAGCATTTACTCATTCAAGCAGAGACATAAGGGCCAGTTCCCCAGTCAACCAGGAATGAAAATGCTCCGTACACAGTTGTGGTCAGGGTCGAAGCCAGATCTCAGGGATCAGACAGCTCACGTCTATGATCAAGGAAGCACCTTTGATGACCTTCTTAGAGCTCTGCGGAGAGCTGAAGTGGATTTGCAGCTGAGAGGAGGTGGAGCCAAGAAGAAGATTTCAACTCCTAGTATGGCCGCTGTAAACCCACAGACAGGACACTGAGATGAAGGAGATCAAAGGGATGTTAAGACAGCTGTCAAGTGAAGTTGCAGACCTGAAGAAACAACAGAGTCACCCATCCCTTGTTTCCCCTGATCCTTGGATGAACCGAAACCCAGGAACCATAGGACCATCACCAAATCAGCAGCTTCAACCTCAACAGTATTGGTCACCACCTCCAGGAATGCCATCACGTTACCAGGACTCTAGGCATCAGCGACCCTCTAAGGATTCTGTAACCGGAGAGCCCATTTGTTTCCGATGCAACCAGCCAGGCCATCTACAGTATGGTTGCCGTGTAGTACTTGATCACAGACGCACTTTAAACAAGAGGAAAGCTATGGGACGGGGCAGGCCATAGGTTATAGGAAGAAGCGCCCGCTCACTAAGCCAAGCTGGTGGGTCAACCAATTGAAGGAATAGTTTTCATTAACGGAGTTAAAACCACAGCTCTTTTTAATACAGGCTCCACTGTGTCAACTGTCTCCAACAGCTTTTACACAAAGTATCTTTCTGATCTTCCCATTAAGCCTTTGGATGTATTCTTACAGACTGATTGTGCAGATGGACAACATCTCCCGTATTATGGCCACATTGAAGTTGAATTACAAGATACAGGAGCCATACCTTCACTTCCATGTATCTGACTAATTGTTCCAGATACATCCTACAACTCAACAGTCCCTGTGTTACTTGGTACCAACATCTTGTCCATTTGTATAGACACCTGCAAGCAACAGTATGGAACTCGTTTTCTCCAACAGGCAGATATTCATATAGCCTAGTACATTGCTTTCCGGAACATGATGCTCCAGGAGAAGGAACTTGCAAGAAATGATTACTCTCTTGGAAAGGTTAGAAGTGCTGAGACTGAACGACTGATAATACCACCCAACACTGAAAGAGTTATTGAGGGATATATATATAAGCCTCTTGTTTATAAGGATACATGCGCAACGATACAACCAAACACAGGATCTGCCATACCATCTGACCTCGATATAGCACCAACTGTCATCAACTACCATTATGATGACAAGTTTATGGTACAGGTACATGTCGCTTATGTAACAACGAGGACTGTGGCCATTCCAACCCGTGCAGTTTTGTGTGAACTCCAAGTCGTCAGTGTGGAGGATCTTCCTGAGAGTGGAAGTCAAGGTGAAGGCTAGGATGTTATGAATCTCATCGACTTCAAGGACTGACTGACTGACTGAGTTTGGTTTAACGCCATTTTTTAGCAATATTCCAGCAACATCACGGCGGGGGACACCAGAAATGGGCTTCACACATTGTACCCATGTGGGGATTCGAACCTGGGTCTTTGGCGTGACGAGCCAACGCTTTAACCACTAGGCTACCCCACCGCCCCTCGACTTCAAGGAAGCAGCAGTGAAACCTGAAGAGTTGAAGATTCGCAAGCATGTTATCTGACAGTATTTGTTTGTATTTTCCAATGGTGAGACAGACTTAGGGCATGTCCCGAATGTTAAGCACCGGATTGACCTTGAGGATGAGCGACCTTTCAAGGAGAGACACAGAAGGATTGCGCCTTCAATGTATCAAGAAGTCAAAGAACACCTACAACAATTGTTAGCAAGTGGAGTCATCCGTCACTCATACTCCCCATGGTCATCTAATGTAGTCTTAGTCAGGAGAAAGAACGGAAAACTACGCATGTGTGTGGACTTCAGACAATTGAATCTCCGGGCCATCAAAGACTCGTACTCTCTGCCACGAATAGATGAGATGTTCGATGCACTTGCAGGATCAAGATTTTTTAGTACACTGGACATGAAATCAGGACATCATCAGGTAGAAATTGAGGAATCACATAAGGAAAGAACAGCTTTTACAGTAGGTCCTTTGGGATTCTTTGATTACAACCGCATGCCATTTGGTCTCTGCAACAGCCCTGCAACATATCAACGGGTAATGAATAATGCCTTGAAGGACTACACCTCAAAATCTGTCTTATTTATATGGATGATATCATCATCTTTTCCAACTCATATGAAGAACATCTAGAACGTCTTGACCAAGTCCTTAAAAGATACAGAGAGACAGGAATGAAGCTAAGCGCTGACAAGTGTTCTTTCTTTAAGAAGAAGATCAAGTTTCTTGGTCACATAGTGTCTGAAGATGGCATTGAGGCAGATCCTGACAAGATACAGAGGATTAAGGACTGGCCTACACCTGTGAATCCTGATGAAGTGCGCATGTTTCTTGGATTTGCAGGTTACTACAGGAAATTTGTCACGGATTTGCGAAGATTTCCAAGCCTCTATCTGCTTTGATGCCAGCTTCAAAGACCAGGGCACGAAGAAGAACCAATCCAGGCAACAAACCAGACAAGCCATGGCAATGGGGACCACAACATGATAGGGCGTTCAAGACAATCAAGACATGCCTGTTAACACCACCAGTTCTTGGGTATGCAGATTATACCAAGCCATTTGAAGTTCACACCGATGCCAGTGGTCATGGATTCGGAGCTGTCTTGTACCAAGAACAGAATGGATTGAAGAAAGTCATCAGTTATGCAAGCCGTGGATTGAACAAGGCAGAGAGTAACTATTCAGCACACCGTCTAGAATTTCTTGCTTTGAAATGGGCAGTGACTGAAAAGTTCAAGGATTATCTGTATGGCAATACCTTCCGTGTCTATACTGATAATAACCCTCTGACCTATGTGCTCACTTCTGCAAAGTTGGATGCTACAGGTCATCGCTGGCTAGCGGCCTTGTCAGCATACAATTTTGATATCATCTACAGACCAGGGCTCAATAACGCAGATGCTGATGGACTCTCCATACTACCAGGAATAGAAGCTGAAAGTCAACAGATAACATCAGAGTCAATCCACTTTACGAGAGATATGCACAAGCTATCCCAACTAGAATCAGACTGCAAAACAACAGCAGAAGCCTTGTTCAAGAACTTCATAATGCACTATGGGATCCCAAAGCGTATCCATAGTGATCAAGGAACAAACTTTGAGAGTCAACTTATGAAGGAATTGTGCAATCTCTTGGGAATGGAGAAAAGCCGGACTACATCTTATCATCCCATGGGTAATGGTATGGTTGAACGCTTCAACTGGACACTGCTTAACATGTTGGGAACACTCCAGCCAGACAAGAAAGCAGACTGGAAGACCTATGTAGTTCCTCTCGTCCACGCCTATAACAGCATCCGGCATGAATCAACCAACCAGTCTCCATTCTTCCTTATGTTTGGTCGTGAGCCACGTCTTCCAATAGACCTTGCTTTTGGGATAGAGACCAACAAGAGTCACCAGTCTCTTACAGCTTATTCAGAGTCTCTGAAGAAGAAGCTCCAAGAAGCCTATACCCTGGCATCCAAGGCGTCAAAGACAGCCCAAGACAAGCAGAAAGTCAGCTATGACTTGAAGACGAGAGGTGCCACAGTCCAAATAGAGTTCTGGTAAAGGCATTAGCCTTTGACGGTAAACACAAGTTGGCCGATCGATGGGAGGAAGATCCTTATGTTGTTCTCTTGCAACCAAACCAGGATATCCCTGTGTTTGTAGTGCAAAGAGAATCTGGGGAGGGGAGGAGGAGGACGCTGCACAGAAACCATCTCCTGCCCATTGGATCAATACCAGCGATCATGGAGAACAACGGCAAACCGACAGCCACGAAGCCAACTCCTAGACCAAGAAAGACAGTGAAGAAGACTGTAGAAGATGACAATCATGAGGATAAAGAGTCTGAGTATGATGCTCCATTCTTTTTTTCCTACAGTTGCTGAGGATGTTACTATCATCAGTGAGAACACTGTGGAAGAGAGTGTGGCTACTTCAGAGACAACAGGTGACGATCTACAGTCTCTTGAAGTAGCAGGTGATGCTTCTGGTGGTGACGACCACATACCTGAAGGAGAAAGCAGTTCAGAAGCATCACCTGCAGCAGTGCAACCATCACAGAACACCGAAGCGGAGCCGGAAGACTCAGTCAGTGATGATCTACCCCCTCCTGCGCCTCCTGATCCTCATCCTCAACCCGTACCTGCACCAAGAAGAACTGGTAGACTGACAAGGAAGCCTGCCTGGCAGACCTCTGGAGATTATGTGATGTGTCAGACTTCTGACCCAGATTGGCAGCAGAAGAGTTGACGCTTGGAACAACTGGCAGCGACAGGCATTTTGGGGCACATCAGCACAAGTATCTCCAAGGCATTGCTTTCCCTTGTTGATGAAGAACCGTAATGACAAGGGAGGGAAATATGTGACAGGATGAAATGTTTGTATATATTTAGTGTTTTTATTCGTTGGTTTTAACTGAATTAAATATTCAGTTTAGTGTATTTTAAACATTATAAACTTCACTCTTCAGCTTCTCTTAACCCCTCTCTCAGCTTACTGCATGAGTTTTCTGCCTCAGACACATTCACCTAAAGCACTGCGACGCAATAGCCTGCCCAAGCGCGCCACTTACTGTCCCTTTGTCATAAACCTTGTTAGCTTACTGTCCCCTGTTTTAAGGTTTGAAGGTTTATTATCAGTTCAGAACGTTTCAACTGTCAACTGGTCATAAGGCATTTGTGGATTTTGAAGCTCACACGTTTTGACTTATTTGGACATTTATAGGAGCTCTTGAGATCATTTCTGAAGGTTAGTTAATTTCCATACTTTTTGTAGTTTGTACAAACTCATTGGATGTATACGCATATTGTGTTTATGTGTTGATAATTTGGCTGCTTTGTCATATTGTAAATATTGAGTAGTTTGTGATAACTAGTTGTGTTGCAGAATGTAATGCATTATAAGTCTAATTATTTACAAACGGTAAATAATTCAATAATTCAGTAAGCTATTTATCAGTGTTAAACTTAATCTTTAAGTACTATACAGCTGTCGTATGGATGTGTAAATGTATGAATGTATAATGTGTAAATGTATGAATGTATAATGTGTAAATGTATGGATGTATAATGTGTAAATGTATGAATGTAAGAATGAAGCAGGGATTTACCATTATATATATTTTAAATGTTTCTCATTAATCAACAATAATTAAACGTATTTGTTGTATTGTTATTGCTGCCATTTGATTAGTCTGCACAGTGTGTATATATGTTTCATTTATTCGTGCAGATGTAGGTGTATTGCTCGTGAAGCTGTCGGTGTGTACTGACTATACCCAGGTCCACACACTTGGTGGGTTTATTATATTTTATATATGCATTGTGTAATGTCTACATGATAAGAAATGCTTGTTTCCCTATACGATATGATATGTATATGCCTATCTATGTATGAATTAAAGTATAAATGGAATGTGTCATCAATGAAATATTGAGACAATGTATATGGAACAGATTAGCAATAATGATATTTTGTAAATGGTTATATTTAAAGATATTGATGATTGATATTATCTATCAGCATATGTTTATGTTTTGTCTAAAGAATGTTTTAATTGTTTCAGGGTTTTTTACATGAACTATCAGAAATAAAGGGCCATAATGCGAACACCACCGTGTCTGTTCTAATGATTGAAACAGTTCCGGTTTCACATCGAATGTCATATGGATAATTTCTTAAAGAACACGATTTGCCCTAATATTGTTGGAATCACTTAAGAAGCAAATGCACTGCCTAGCATAACAGATTTAAGCATCTTTCCATAGACCAGTGTACGATGTTACATATATATGAATGTGAATCATTGTCAAATGGTGGTTATAGCAGGTATTCGCCCAAAACAAGTCAAATAGAAACCGAAACAACATTAGAGTAACGTGGCACAATTCCTGCATTTGACTTGAAAAACGAACTCGAGGACATAACTAAGGCTTTGAATGTTATGACCCTGAAGAAGCAAATGCTGAAATGTGAACTGCGAAATGGAGACTGGAATAGGTCTCTATTATCTTTCACAGCCTTGTGGACCTGAAGCAGATGTTATGGGTTTTCTATCCCTTCACGTTTTCTTCATCGAGATAAAACAGTGGAAGGACATTGACTATTTGATCATTACCGTACACTATTAGATCATACATACGTCTAAAGCATGAGTCTTGATTTTGATAATATGGCTCCCATTTTCTATGATTTGAGCAAGGATGATGTAACCAGAAAATGTAGGAAATCTTTATGATGACTGTTCTCAACCGGAATTGAAACAAAGATGAATCACACTCTGTCGGTTGGAGGCCTTGGGTATTTTTTGTTTTGATGATTAGACAAAGTCCTTCATGAAAGTCTTCGTGTAAGTAATCCACAGATATGTGCCTGAAGGGTTACTAAGAGGTTATTGTCAGATGAAATTACGACTATGCATGTGAACACCTCTCATGACCTGTTTACCATATATAATCGCATCCCACGAGATTTCCGTTTCAGCTGAAAACAGGTCTAGTGTCGGAAACATTGCTTTGTGCAAACAAAAATATTTGGAACACTTCAGTTCTCCCGAAACCTATAGATTTAAAGCAACATATCCACAAAATATTCTGCATGTATGTCCGGTTTGACAACAAATGCAAGATACACGTTCATGTAGAATATTTAGACTTGTGAATGTAAATCTTGAATTCCAAAATACCAACCATATATAAACCATCAAACACATACACCTAGGCGAATCAAGGTGTACATAAAATACGTTCACATCATTTGAAATGCAAAGAAGTCAACAACCGTGACTAAAATATAAAGAGTTCTGATTTACAAACTGCCAGCGAATATAGCCGTAAAGAACGCTACTCTAATGATGTATTATCAAGGAGAATGTAATTCATTTGCAAAGAAAGACGTCCAAGCTTTTCAAATGCTAAACGACCATTTTCAAAACATATAATTACTAGGCTAGTTCTTAAGACATTTTCGCCAAAAGGATAATTACCTAACCCTTTACTTGTAACGTTCTACAAATCTAATAATCTGACTGAAAGAGCTTGCAGTTGCAAGACACATTGCTATTATGTAATCTTCTAGATCCAGTCATCTTCCCGACAACTATAAAAAGAATTTGTAGACAATTTAGTTTGTCAATGTGGGTTTTATGAGGGTTGACAGTATTTCTCCCATTCCCCCCATCTCCAGAAAATTGAGAACGTTCAGATTGTTTCTAATTATCAACTGGAGTCTGAAGCAGACAAACCAAACAAGTTATTGATAGTATAATCAATGATTATCGTCGTCGATGACACGCTATGTTGCAACCTCGTAAGACAAGTTTAGGTTGCCATCACAGGTCGATGGAGAACTATTCTGATGCAGTGTTTCGATTCGATTTCATAGGCATTAACATAACGCAGGTAGTATTAAATTCCTTGACATCCGGTTATTATTCAAACGAATTAATGGAACCACCAAGAATTTTCCACAAACATGTACGCTTATTAGAAACTCAACAAAACCCAAAAACGTGCCGGACACATGAGCATTATTGTGGCATTCCAGAAGACTTTGGGAGGTTTTTGGTTTGTTTAACGCAATATTCCATCTGTATGACAGCGGTCTGTAAATAATCGAGTCTGGACCAGGCAATCCAGCAATCAACTTACAGCATGAGCATCGATCTAGGCAACTGGGGTACGGTAACATGTGTCAGCGAGCCTGACCACCCGATCCCGTTAGTCGCCTCTTCCGACCTAACCCGGATCATCTTCACGGGTCTCCAGAAGTGTACACTTATATAGCGATGTGCGTGTGGCTGCATGTTCTAGCCAAGACAGATGCAAGTTTCATAGTGCTAGCCCTCTGACATACACAGATTCCCACTGGATACTTACCCTGAAACTACCAGACATTCTTTATCCCAACGAATTCAGCTGTTGGTTGCAGCAGAGCAGGGGATATAGTTTAAGGTTTATGAAACGTTTAACAATATTTGATTACCGTAGAGTTAAAGCGTTTAATAGTATCTGCTTGACACTGTCAATAGAATAACAATAACATGTACTATCACACAGATTGGATCATAGACATGAGGTGTTCTTGAACGGAACGAATATTTCTTTACCACTTGTGCGGGTCCAGATATATTGCACAATTGCTACAACTGTATACACTATAGATACTGCCCGTTCTAAAGTGTTAGCTCTCTGAGATACTAAGATTTGCAGACAAATTATACCGAACCCGAACCGATAGGTCCCTCCAGTGTTTTGGTTGTTGCTCCAAGAAGAGTGGGGTGATTCCGTTAAGGTTTACGAAACATTTAAGCTGTATTTGATTACTTCTTTGATTGGCATATATTTGGTTCCTGCTGTGTTTTATATGAGCTAGACATTGACAAGAGTCATAAATGGAATGAGTACAACATTTACGCCCACACTAAATTGAAAATCGACATGATATGTTCTTGAGGGAGATGTTACTTTACACCATGTACATACACTGTTCAATCAAATAACTAATTTGTGGTCACAAACGCGTATGGTGACAGGGGGGTGCATCTGGAGATGATTAATGGAGATATTATTACAAAGTTCAGTGTCTAACGACATGAATATTATCGAGACATTTGATTTGACGCGACGAGTTTCACAATCCAAGTTTGATATTAGTAGCATATGTTCTCAGGACAGATATGACATTTAGTTGTGTACCTAGGATACAACGGAGAAGGCAGGACATTTAAGAATAAAGATAAAGAGACAACCTACAGCACTGAATACATTAAAAAACAAAGTACCATTCTGG